TGGTGTTTATATATATATATATATATATATATATATATATATATATATATTCAAGAAAGGAAACGGAGTTTCTGGAACGCAGTTGAGTGGAATCAAAAGATAAATGGGGGAAAAATAAATATTGTTTTAAAGCAATTCAGAGAAGAAAGGTTTTAGAACTATTGAGTGAGGTGTGGTTTGAAATGCCCCAGGAAGCGATGTGTTCAATATCGGATTCCAGTGACACATTAACTGCACTACCGTCACGATCGACGTTGGTTTGGGTCTGGCGAGTAGTGCGGTAGGAGAGAGAGAGGGAGCAGTGAAGGGTGGTGTCATCGGCAAAAGAATGAATGGGGTTGGCATTTTTGGAATCGGGATTATTGATAAACAGGAGAAAGAGGGTGGGCGCAAGTACTTAGCCCTGGGGAACACCAGCATTCACAGGGAATGGCTGAGATAGAACCCCATCAACTCGGACGGGGTTGGTTCACTTACTGAAGAAATTTGATATCCACGCCACGAGCACCGGAGGGAACCTGAACATGGGTAGTTTCGCCAGTGGGTAGTAGGCAGCTTTGCTGTCATCCGGTTCAATATCATGCCCAACCTAACGGGGTCTCATGTTGTTCGCCACTCTAAGCACAGGGGCTTAGTTTACCGGTTTCCGCCACTGAACAGCAGGTCCTCGTGACTATGGGGTTCGCCCCATCTGCTATTCATACACTTAGGTGTGTAATAAAAAAATTGGACCTTCGTGCCAAACTCATTCGAAGGCTTTTGAGATGTCAAGCGAGACCAAGTGTGTTTCTCCCTGGTTATCGAGTACAGCTGACCAGGATTATGAGGCAAGAGCTAACAGATCACCGGTGGAACGTCAGAAGCTATACTGACAGTCGCTCAGTAGTCTTTCACGTTTGAAAAATGTGCGTAGTGCATGGTTAATGGTTATAAAAACTGGAACTGAATTGTGATGTCCGACTTACAGATGAAACTGAAGAGATTTCTAGTGATGTAGCACAGGACACTACATCGTCTCCGACGGCTGCACCAGTACCAAAAATCCCTATCCACCACCTTCCGTACCTACCATAATTTACGAGTTCTGTGCCTCCCCGAAATAGGTGTAACGGTCAGTCTGTGCCTTTATCTAGGGATTTGATTAAAAACACGACTGAATTAAGGTCGATTGGATTTTCCCAGTTGCCCGATCGGAGCACCAGGGATGGTGAATGCGTTTGGATTTTCATAGTCTAAGGAGCATAGCCTGGAATGGGAACCAGTGACGGGTTTTGTGAAAGTGTACTGTGAATCCCTCAGCCAACGCAAAAAAATTCAGCGAAAAATGTAATGAAAATATGATACATAAAGGCGATCCAAATCGAAAATAAAACCGTCCTGTCATTTTATGGATTCCTTTTTGATTCTCATCAACTTTTGTTCGGCAATGTACAACGTTGACACTTCACATCTTTCAGGTCGGTAATCAGGTACACACTCCCTTGTGATATATGTAATTTATTGCATACATATTATTTCTGTCTTTCACTCTTGCAGTTGTACCAAACTATGCTACAACTCGGATTCCTAAATTTCCAACTGAACTTCTGATTGTCAGCTGTTTTACTAAATTGAAGTATGCCTTCTCGATTGGAGCTGTTAAAGAGTCGGGAGTATATTTGCGATCTTTCTCTGGAGCAGAAAATCCGGAAATGCGCTCCTTATCTGAAATGCCAGGTAAATATACCTCATTGTATCCACCTATCTTCCTCTCTTCATAGGAGGATGGATGTAAATGTCCTAGTTGGAAACCAGATGATCAAATGAGTTCACAAGTGCTTGAATCCTCTTGCAAATCTTGTCACCATGTCCACCAGACATTCACGTTGGATGATGAACGTGCTTGGCTAGAAATTGCTGTGCAAATGGTAGATGATGTCGAACACATGTACGTGTTATGTGCGAGTGAAGAAGATACAGAAACGAAACATTTATACTTCTGTATCTTGAAGGTAATAATTTTTTTCTTTAATGCACTATTTCGCCACCAGCGCATCCGGAAGGCGTTAATGAATCGAACTAAACCCTCATTTGACGATCCACCTCCGTTTGAACGTCCTTCAATAGATACGGTTTGCTAGTTCTTGTTAGTTGTGCATTTTTTACTTGCAGGCAGTAAGAAATGTGATACTGCATTACCTTGCACATGGTATGAAGGAGCTGGAAATCACGCTAGATCTGTGCCGACTCCTTTTATCATTTGTCAATATGTGGAAAATGGGTTACCCGAGTCGAAGGTCCAATAAGCATGAAAACAAAACAGGTTACCGATTGATTTATATGAGGTAAGTCTAGAGGTATTTGCTAACTTTCATGATTACCTGTCGTAGATGGATGTGCCATTGCTATGCTCCTCAGTTCTGTGTTACGCTCCCGCATTGTGACGCTACAAGTGCGTTTGGGAAAAACTTTTTCCTTGCAATTCTACCCGAACTCAAGAAGCAGCTGATGGAAAAAATTTCTCAAGATCCTACTCCTGTAGATTTAGACAAGAAAATGCAAATAATTCAGCCCATCTTCAAGTAAGCAATAGTTCACTTCCTTTAATTATCAATTTTTCTAAATTGTAGAATAATCAGCCTGTTAGAAGAAGAAGCTCAAAACCCAGTTCATCGTATTTGGGATCCATATTTTCAATCATTTGCTTCCTTACTAATGAACACAGGCTCAAGCCTGGGTGAGCAAGGTGGCGACGTTATTCATGGTCCCGAGAATTTAGCTTCTGGAGACAGTCATCTGTGCAACGAAATAGTTAATATGGAAGTTCGCAAATTGGACGGAACAAACGTTCCTTGTGAATCTACCCCATCACGGAAGTCGAGCGATGCGGCACAAAAACGACGATCCAGTAAGTAAATTTTACTGAAAATCACTTTAGAGATATTCTGTGATCGTTTTGCTCTGTTTTGCCGTGCGATTTTGTAGCCTGATTTCTCAGGACGTAAAGGATAATCGTTCTTTGACAGCATTAAAAACACTACTGTGCAATATATCAATCACAACGGAGGGTACAACTCAGCCAGTAATGACCCCTGAATTTTTCGGTGATTTATCAATCCACTGGGCATATCGAACGTTTTAATCAAGCTTGAGCGGTATGGAAAAGGTTCACATGTCACTTATAAAATAAACATTGTAAAAATTGCTGGGCCAATGACAGCCCTGACTAGGCCCAGATCTCATATTCAAGTGGAACAAAGGTCAAAGCAATCGTGAATGCAAAAATGATGATGAATGAAAATATGGATAAAATGCACTAAGAGCCGGATATTCTACTTTTTTATTGTGTGAATGTTGTTTCTTGTTTTTCTAAGTGGTGACACCCTATTAATGTTTAAGATTTAGTCTTAATTCTTGTGGAATTCACAAACAGTAATTTATGAATATCCAGCGAGAGAAAAAAACATTTTCTTGGAGTTCTATTAAGATCTAGAGATCAGTTGAAACCTTCATACCAAACGATTCTATAATTCTATGATTGCGCTCGACCTTCCAATCACATGCCTGCCTCGGTAAACATCATAAGCCGACGGAACTAACCGTTAAAGATTCAGTTGTAGGGCTCAAGCTTTGTAGTCAGGTTTATGTTACATTATTTTTTTAATTTGAATAATACTTGCTTACTATCGGGCAGACAAGCTTGAGTTAATGGAGGGCCATTCCGGACTCGTGACACGTGAAGTACGTTAGTCGACCATACGAGAGTGAAAGCAATTAACAAATGGACGAACCGCGCAAGCTCGTCTGTTTTTGTCGTTCTATGCGTAAGATAGATATTAATTCCTGTGATTAAAGTGACACCATCCAAAATGACCAAATCCCATAAGTAAATGGTCAGCCATAGAGGGGTTTCAAATGCTTTTGTCGATATTCTTTCTGCGAGAAGTGGACTTGTCTTATTCAAGATCGCGTCGCAAATTGGCGACCCCGTATTTCTGTTGTCACACTTTGTGGGTAGATGGATTGGATAGATCAGTACTAAAAGATGACAAGCTCTTTGATGGTCGTATTCACCGGATATCATCAAACTCATTGCTAGTCCATAGCCATGGGGAATCAGTAATACCGGTTCGTAGACGAAATACTGGAGAACGTACTAAGTGGTCTCCAAAACGAAGGCATTGAATGGACAGCTAGAGAAAAACTGCGATTTTGATGATGATAACATCATCTGTCTGTTCGAATGTATAAAGGACGCGCAAAGCGCACATGATAGACTAACAAGTGCAGTTGCCACATTCCGTGCTTTGCACCTTCAAAGTGCTAAGTGATGCTGCAGGACTGGGTTTCGGCTACTCCCGCTAGCGTTCGTTCAGTTCTGCTGTGTGGTTGTAAG